AGCACCTCCTGAGATGGCACATCTGTCACGTTTGCTTGTAATGAGATGCCCGCTTGCATGTTTAATGAGCTCTTACTTGGCCAACTAGTGAAAGTATCCTGGCCATCAAAGGTGGGCAGAGATGTGCTTCAGCCACAGATTTGGTCTGCTGAAGGTAGTTTGTGGTAGAATAATCGTCACAGAATCATTTAAGTTGGAAGGGACTCTTAAAGGTTATCTGGTCCAACTCCCCTGCAACAAACAGGGACACCTACAGCTCCATCAGGTGCTCAGAGCCCCTCCAGCCTTGAGTCTCACCAGAGATGGGGCATCCACCACACATCTGGGCAACCTGTTCCAATGCCTCAGAATCCTTATTGCAAAAAAACTTTCTCTTTATATCCAGACAGCATCTTCCCTAACCGGTAACACTGGGATCACTTACAGAGCCAGAGGTGCAATCTCCTTTTTTGGCTGGTGTAAAACAAGTGGCGCTACATTCACAAAACAGCACCTGAAGTTGTCGTTCTGTTCTCCAGCACTGTAACTCCTCAATTCAGCATGGCTGTGGGACAGCACTGGTAGAGGGGACACAGACTTCAAACACACTGCATCCAGCCCCAGGTGTGTGCTGAGGACAAACACACCTCGCTGGCAGGAGCAAACAGCTAGCCATGACATGATGGAAAGCAGAGCCTGATTATTTCAATATGTGCCGCTACACACATGCTGATCTGGGCAGCACCTTCCCATGGAGGAGGGGGGAATACCTGGAAACTCAGCACACCGCTGAGCTCAGCCCTTGTAGAACAGAAATGCTTTAAAAGCATCTTCACATTTTACCTTGCCCTTCGTCTTACTCTGCCAGCCTCAAGCAAAAGAACTACCCCAAAGGAATCCACCAAGTCCCATTCTCCCAAACCCAGCCATGTCTGTGGGAACAACGGCAGCAGCCCATCGGTGGGATGCATCAGCTCCTGTGAATACTGCAGCCAGGTCTTGCCCAGGGCCAAACACAAACACACCTCTCGCATTCCAGTTTTCACTGCTTTGCCTCTTGAATTGTTTATCTCGGCTCAATTCCTGGATGTGGATAAAACAAACGACATGGACTTTCTCACAGACAGGGCTCCTCGTTGTTCCCCTGACAAATACCACACTCAGCGAGCATGAGCCTGAAACCCAGAGGAAAGGAAACAACTGCAAAGGGCAAGAAGGAAACAGATCATTTGCCAAGGGACAGCATGAAAACACATTTCTCCTTTGGGCCAGAGCCTTGAAATCTTCCCAGACTCCCCATTCCTTCCAGCCCACGTTCACAACACTGTAAGCCCTATCACAGCACACTGAAGGAAGCATCATTTTCAAGAAGCTGTTGTTATTTATTACCTTCATATCTAAAAATGGCAACCAGCCCAGGACCCAGTTGGTTTCATCCTTGACCAGACACAGCTGATGCGGGAGACCTTGGAAACCTGGTCCATCTACTGGCAGAACCCCAGAGGCAACAAGGATGGAGGAGCTGTATGCTTTCTCATTCACGTACCATCCTTGGAGCTGTTATTAATTGCATTTCACTTGTAGTAACTTCTCCCACAACCCAGAGCTCTGCAGCCCTTCAGTTCAGCCGGAGCAGCAATATCAACACAGTGCCATGGACTGGCTCTTTGCAGCTGGCTTCTCCGATGTCTCACAATACGCAAGCCTGCATAAGCCAAGCTGGATGCCCAGCTACAGCTCTGGTAATGAGTTTCTCCCATGCCTGTGCACTTCTGACTCGAAAGCTAACTGGTGCAGAGCATGTGAGATGCTCATATCCAGGCTCTCCCCTGCCCACTGCCTACACCTTTCTGACCTTTAAGGCTATGTCAGAGCATCTGGCGGGGTCAGGAGCTTTGGAGGCGGAAGGGCAGATACACATGTGAACATGCAGAGCATGACAAATGCTTTGTTTCCGTAGAAAAGCCGGGGGAAAGAAGAGGTCTTCCTGGCAATTCAGTGGATGTGAAAAATGCAGTCATAGCATTACTGGCATGATTTTCGAGTTGCTGTTAAAATTCCACTTACATTATGCTACCTCCAACATCAGAGTCTTCTGTGTTTTGGAGCAATACATTAAACTGTCTTTTAGCAGCTGCCTGCCAAGGGGGAAATGGAGGTTTTGACATCTGACCCATGAGGAAGGATGTGTGGCATTTGGGGCCAAATCCCAAATAGGGATTTTAACTGGATGTTAGAGCAAACTGCTTTGCTAATGGTTAACTATTTTGGTGCTGTTTTTGTTCCATGGGAGTCCCTAGCCTGGTCAATGGGGCAGCCCCAGCCCTGCAAGCTCAAGTTTGCCTGCACCTTAATCCTTTAATCCTAGGATATCATCTCCATTAGGAGCAAAGAGCAATGATGCACTGGCACAGGCTGCCCAGGGAGGTGGTGAAGTCATCATCCCTGGAAGTCTTCAAGAACTGTGGAGATGTGGCACTGAGCAACATGGTTAGCAGGCACAGTAGGGATGGGATGGAGTTGGACTAGATGACCATAGAGGTCTTTTCCAACCTTAATGATCCTGCTCAGTTCTAAAATGGCCACTGGGGACCGGGACACAGCATGCCAGCAAGCAGGGTGCTAGGACACTGTACAGGCAGTCCTCGCTCTGCTCCAAGTGCCCGACCTGTTAATCCACCTTAATTTAACATGGTGTGCAGAGCTCTGTGCCGTGCTGAAGGAATGAATTCACTCAGGGCTGGCATGAGAGCTCCGCACACAGTAAGAGCCCTCTGTCCCGCATGCGGGCAGCTTCACTCAGCACTATGTCAAGTTGGTGATGCGATGACCTGAAATAAACCATAAAACCATGCGGTCCAGTGGCATCGGAACTATTTTGGAGGCCCCGGTCCCCGGAGGTGCTGAGCCTCCGTCTCGCTGCCTCCATCCGCAGGAGTTCATGCCCTTGGCTCCCCGAGGGGGTGGAGGTTCTCAGCCCGATTTCCACAGACTGCCGCTGTTTTGTTCCAACATTCCCAACATCTTCAAAATACCCAAAGCTTCTTGTGCAATGAGCAACATCCCCTGCTTCCTAGCTACGTGGTGGTTTATGTTACTTTCCGCCTACAACCATTTCAGGATTGGCTTTACAGACCTAAGTGGAAGACTAAACAATGCCGGAGCCACAGTGGGAGGATTTGCAGAGTTTTAGTCCTTGTTTCGTTTGGGCAATCCTTCTGCATCTCATCAGGGACAAAAAAACTTGCCAACCTCTTAATTTAGGAATAGCACGAGCTCTGCATTCCAGCCCTGAATCAGCCAAAGGAGCCTTTTCAAGCTGGAAAGGGGAAAAAGGGCAAATACCTTTAAGCGCATTTAAAAAAAAAAAAAAAAAAAAAAAAGGCAGACACCTGCCTTTTGCAGGCAAAAACCTGCTCTGGGGCACTGAGACAAGGTTGACATCAGCATTTGAAAGGGAATTCCAATCCCTGTGCTCTGGGTGCCAGACTGCTCTCCTTGTCACCGCTTTGAAGCAAAGGCAAACTCTCCCCGTGTACATTTTGCAGATGGGAGCAGCGCTGTGAGCCTGAGCAGAACAGCACCGAGCGGAGCTGGCAGATGGGGGCTTTGTTTTTGTTGTGGGTTTTATTTAATAGCTACAACAACCTGTTAAAAGTTTTGTAATCCGAAGAGAGCAAACCCTTTTCTGGATGTCCAGGCTCAGCTGCCAAGACGTGCTCAGTGGAGAATATTCCAGCTGCGTGCTTCACATCACGCTGCTTCAAGATGTGCCAGTGTTTTTATTATTCATCCCCTATGGACATTGCAGAACGCCACATACATTAAAGCACTCTTAAGCTGCGCTATTTATATGTGAGTGAGCGAGCGCTGCATATATGCAGAGATATGGGCAAATCAGTCACACGCGTTGTAAAGGCACAGGGAGAGTAAAATGAAGCAAAAAAGCAATTCTAGCAGGGAAAAAAAAAAAAGAAAAAGGCCATAAAAGCAAAAAACTGGCATTAATTCTGAAAATCATCTCTTAGTACACCACTGCTGTATTCTCCATTCCACCCCAGCTTCTTCTAAAAGCGTAAAGCTGGAGTCAGCATCAGATTCCTTCAATCTGAATGCCTTCGGCTTCTTCTAGAAGAGTGCAAAATTCACTCCGCAGATGCTCACATGGTGCAGCTGAGCAGCGGTGCACAGCCCCATTAGGCAAAGGAGGGGCAGGAGTGGGGATGGTTGCAGCGTGGCCGCACAGAAGCAGCACCGAGCAAAGTTTTCTATGCCGCTGTTTTTTCTCTCTCCCTCTCTGCCTCTCCCTCTCGCTCAGAGTGAGCCGAAGTGTTCGCTAAGCAAAGCAATGGCATCCCCGTGAGAGCTGCCTCGCGCAGTCAGCGCAGCAACAGGTCGGGAGCCTGTGGAGTCCCTTCAGGCGGCGTGCTCGATGATGCTGCAGTCCTCCCCGGCACCCGCTGCACGGAGGCAGAGGGGCCCCAGTCCCAGAGTGGGCTCTGCTGGGAGTTGGGCATGGCTCCCACATCGTGGCCCCGCAGCCGCCCACTTTCCACCAGGCAGCACATGGTGCTCGTACGCCGCCTCCGCCCGTATCTTCGGGGCATCCGTCACCCTACACGCTGTTTCCAGTTCCCCACCAAGCCCAAAGTCCCCCTTAGGCCCCCCAGCCCGGCGCAGTCCCCACCCCCAGCCGCATGTCCCCTCAGTCTGCCCCGGGAGACCTCCGGAGGACCCCAACCTCCACCCGGTCCCCCCGCAGCCCGGCTCCCCTCTCCTTCGGACCGGGAGCAGCCCCCAACAAATCCCATTACACCCCACCTCTGTGGATCCCGTACAAAAGGAAAACTCCCCCAGGGAAAGCTGCAACCCCGAGCAACCTCTTCACCCCACCGCGGACACCCATCCTCCCCTCACTCCCACCCTATCCTACCCCCTTTGTCCGCTCCCCCCTCTGGCATCCCCCGTCCCCTGCCCTCCCGAAGGGTCCCCTCTCTCCCCGGCTCCCGGCCGTCGCTCACCTGCGGGGCGCTCTGCGCTGGCTCCATACTCGGCCGTGTCGCGGCGGCGGGCGCAGGTGCCCTGTCCCTGCACCAAGGCTTGCAGGGGCAGCTCGGCTCCGGGGTCGGGGTAGCAGCGCAAACCGGCGGCGCAGCGCGGGGTGTACACGCCGCAAGCTTCGGCCTCTAGGCGGGCGCACACCGGACAGCAGCCGCAACCCGGTTCCCGCACCAGCTCGGGGCAGGGCGGCCGGGCGGCCGGGGAGCAAGCGGCCAGGCGCTCCGCCGTGCAGGGCGGGCAGCGGAACAGCACCTCGGGCAGCGCCGGCCCCGCCAGCGCCAGCGCCGCCGCCAACGCCGCCAGCAGCAACCGCGGCCAAGCAGCCCGCGCCGCGCCGCCGCGACCGACCCCGCCGAGCGCCATGGCGGGACTG